AAAGAGCAACCACAATATCAAAAAATAATACCCAACAAAAAAACAACAACCATATAAACACGCACTCAAAACCTAAAATACAAATCACCGCAACCACATCCCATATAAAACGTTATAAAAACACCCAAACGGAAAATTCTAAGCATAGCCTAAATTAAATGGTCAACAATAAATCAGAGACCAAGGAACAAGGTGAGGAAAGACGAAAAGAGAAAAATAAAAGAGAAAAAGTAAAAAAAGAGAAAAGAAGAGGAAGAGAAATCAACAATCAGTCAATACCCATCAAAGAATAAGGAAATAAATAACACACTCATACCAATAAAAGAACAAGAGAATCGAGAAATGACAGCAGATTAATTGTGTTCCGAAGAGTGGCTATACCTATATAGCCATGAACCTCCGAAGTAAATATGAGTTAAGTGCAAAAAATTTTCTTCATATATATATATATATATATATATATATATATATATATATATAGAGAGAGAGAGAGAGAGAGAGAGAGAGAGAGAGAGAGTGAATAATTTCATAGACTTACGGCTGAAAACAAAACGTTATATATCTAAAATTATCGCTAGCAAGTGAAGATGATATTCTATTTTATAACAACCGCACAAGATGGCACTGAAATCTTTTCTCAGGCTGACCAATATTCACTAGCAGATATTTATATTTTTTTTTTAATATTTATCCATACGATATGATTTAGTTTGTAATTAGAGATTTTGAGGATTTCAAAACTGGTTTAATTTTGTCCAACCTCCAATTATTTGTCAATTTATGATATTTTGAAGTTAATAAAAACTCGCACATATTTAATATTTAGATGTTAAGTTCTGAATAGTCATTTTTTTTTTCTGTTTTTGCTAAGGAAGCCATTGAAATCTTGTTGAAATGAATGTCATGTCACCGACCGTTTTAACTTGACAAACCTTTTCAAGAATTACTTATATTTGGATATGAATAACCTAAAACAGAAAATTCAGTTGAATTCACAGAAGTTTTCACCAAATTACACCTGCCTTTTCGTATCTAACTCCAAATCTAAATAATGCTAACAAAAATGAATGCGACAAAAACGTTCCCCTTTTCAATGTAAGTTTCCAAATAATAAAATTATTGAAATCTCAAAATCATAAGTACCTTGTTATCGGGTATTTGAAACATACACAATTCCTTTCATACGTTAAATTGTTAATTCTCCCATTTTAGTACGAAATATCAGACAAAACTTTCCTTTCCTTTAGCAAAATCCAAACTCTTCCCCTCTGTTCCTGTTTCCTGGGTTGCTGAATCTACATTTGTCACTCACAATCTTCCACAAATGTCTAAATAGTTTACATTTATGCTCTTTTCTGTAGACCATGTTTTCTAGACTTAAGCCCTATGCTTTAAATATGAATGTGATAGTTTTGTTTTAATCTTCCTCTTGAGTATAAAGAATATTAATATGGTTGAATAGTTTCGTGAATATCCTTCAGAATGCCCCAAAACCGCCTGGCTCTTTTGTGCTAGCACTCTTTTCACAGGTGGAGTTATCAGCAATACGTCTTGATAACATCGAACTTCGATTGTTCTACATCCTGATGTGGAAATGGAATGCCAAATTTGTACATATATAATACACTGCTTCGGATACGGCCCGAGGTAGTGTGTAGTGAAATGGTTCAGGACCGAGCCGAGAACTTATTAGCAGAAAAAATTTCGATCTGTCCAAGAAGGAATTTCAAAATAAACTCTGAGCATTTTGTCAGATTTTGCAAAGTAGAAATCAATGTGTCTGTAACCTTCTAAAACTTATCGACAATATTATAGTATTATTATGATTTTAGACATAAGAAACAGGATCAATAAGTCTGTAGACTCACGAGATTTTGATCAGATATTGTCATTATATATTATTCAATAAATAGTATTAAAATTTGCTTGTAAATTCAAACGAACAAGAAAGAACATTAATTAGAAAATAAAAAAAACTCTTATATTTTAGCATTAGGATACAGACATTACTATATATATATATATATATATATATATATATATATATATATATATATATATATATGTACACTACAGTCCAAAAGTTTGTACCCACCCCTACAATTAGCATGGGATGAATTTAGCAGAAGAATGAAAAAAATGAAAAAGAGCTCTTAGAGTCATTAAAAAAAGAATGTAATCAGTTATCAAATTATACTTTATGAAACTTTTGCAATGAATGCCAAAACTTTGTGCTGCAATAATCAAGGCCAAAGAGAATATTCTGACATGAGTAAAATGTAATCATAATATGCTGTTTTTTTTTCTTTTTGTCATAATAGATTTTCTAATGAAAAATCATGACTTACTTTTTTAACCATGTATAATAAATCTGTCTTATTTAAAGTAAAAAACAACTACTTTTGCCTCCAATTTAAAAGATTACCAGGGATGGCCTCAAACCTTTGAAATATAGTGTGTGCATATGTGTGTGTGTGATTGAGTGTGTATGCATATATGCATATATAGTGAATAATTAAATGGAATAATGGAATACTTATATGTAACAACATATTAAGAAGAAAATTCTTCAGACTGCTGTTCGTTAGTATATATATATATATATATATATATATATATATATATATATATATATACTTGGTGTCCCAAAAATTGACATTATTTAAAATGTAAATATCTGAATAACAACATGTACGAAATTAAATAGGCTTCGTGTTGAACAATAAAAGATTCATTTATCAAACCTCGAACAAGATATTCAAAGGGATGTTGATTTTATAACCAATTTCACAAAGCTTCTTAAATGTCCAATAAACGCACCACATGTGACACGACACATGTTAAGTCGGGAGTCCTGCTCCTGCCAAACCCATTATTGCATGTCTTGCGTTACATCCCCCAGAGCTTCAGTGATTCTCTGCTTAATTTCCTGTAGGCTTGTAGGAAGAGGGTGATATAGGCATGCCCTTTCACATAACCCCATAGAAAAAATCACAATGTGTCAATTTAGATGAACGTGGAGGATATTTCAACAGTACATTGTCATTATCACTAGCACGGCTGATCCATCTTCTTGGTAGATTCTCATCAAGATATTTACACACAGTAAACTTATTTTTTCATAGATTTTGTTTAAATTTGAGATTATTTGAGCGATAATTGGTTATGTTATTAGACTACAAAAATTACGACAATTTTGGGGAGTCACTCTCTATATATTCCGGCGGATAAAAACCAACGTCAAGGAAAAACAACTGATCTGAAATTGTAAAAATCTATTCAAAATATTTTCGGATGAACGACTATTACATAAGATTCGAAAGATCATGTGAAAACAAAGATCAGAATTTAAAACAGTTTCAGTATCTCTTCCTACAAAAAGCAGGATGTTTATGTATAAGACCGATTTTGCATTTCCCAACTCCCATCGATAGTGGAAATAATCGATTTTTTCATGCTTCTACGACAGTTTTCATGTAGTTTGCGGCAATTTTCTACTGGCCAGAGTGAGAGCCTATAGCTGGCTACCACACATAAGCAGGAAGATTCTATTGGCCAGCCTGAGAGCCAACAGCTGACTGACACGAATGTTAACTAGCATGCTAGCATGCAAAAAAAATGTCGATAGCTGCATTCGTCACAAGTGGGAAAATTCAAATCTGCATGGAACTTTACTCCAATTGGCTCATTCGCTTGCTTAAACTCAACGTTGATTCTGATTCCGCAGAACTGGGTTGGGTGTGAAAAAGTATTTGTTGTTAACATTCTTTTTGTCATGCGGTTTTTCCAGTTACGAGTCCTTTTTAAAGCTGATCGTTTTGTGTTCATTTTGTTTAGTTCTTTTTTTCATAACAGATTTAATGTTTAGTATAGAGCTTAGAAAAAATTCGCAGTGTGAGATAGGCAAGAAGTAAGGCATGTAGCAACATCAGCAAGGAAGGGCAAAATATTTTAAGTCAAGTGATAGCGATTGCTGTATGGGTCGTACGATTTTTTAATCAAGCACGGGCAACGCCAGGCCATGCTACTAGTTTATAATAATTTTCGACTGATCTGTGCTCTGCCAGTCATCTTGTTGCTTTTTTCTCCTTTGTAGGTTTCTTCTAGTCGATACGTTCAGGTGTATAACCCGATTTCAAAGTCTTCAGATTCTGAGATTCGACTTGCAGGGCTGCAGCCTTTTAGCTTCCTTGCCTTAAAAATGAAAACTTCAGACTGCACAACAGAGCAAAGCGTAATTCCGCTGACGTCTGTGAAAGCAGCAGGAGTTAACCGTTGGACAACTTTTAGCTCCTTAAGCTTTACTGGGGATCAACTCTGATTTTTTCTCAAATATTCAATTATGTCAGCAAATCTAACAACAAGCTTCTGGTTTTCTCTCTGTTAACCCCATCCAAATGCAGTAAGCCGGAGTTTGTCTTGCATAATTAAATTTCTCTGAGGATTCAGCACATATGAAAGCACCCGAAGCCAGACATCACCGCTCTCACCCCACTGCGAATGCCGGTCGGATTCCTCACCCAATCCACTTGGTTTAGGAAAGGGTATACCATCAGGCTTCTTAAATGTTTTCTTAATAAGAATCGACATTAAGTTTCCTTTGTTTTCATTAGGTTGCCTCCCATCGGCATTTTTCTTTAATCCGAGTAAATTTAACGTCATTGCTAAACTTTTAGTTTTCGTTTCAAGTTTTTGTTCGTTTCAAATCTGGTTATGATGCAAGTAATAGTTTGTTTCTTTGTAGGGTTTTTGTGAGAGGAACAATATCTATTCTACAGAAAGTAGAAAGAAGATATTTTTCAGGTTTTAACAACTTAGCGAAAAATAAATGGCTATGAAGCACTTTATGGATATTTATACTGTTGGCTTATTTCTCACGTTGTATGCATCAGTGTAGCTCAAGAAGATGAAATGAAGTCCCAAATAATTATCTGTATTAAGAATGGCTATTTGTTTGGTATAGCTTATATTTCAATATATATTATCATCCTATTTCGGCTTCCGGCCACATCATGTTGAAACACCGGTTCTCGTACGATCACCGAAGTTAAGCAACGTCGACCTTGGTCAGTACCTGGGCAACAGCTTAGGAATACCAGGTGTTGTAAGCTTGGACGTGCGGATAGTGTAATGGATCGGAATTCTTAACGGGAGATCCCAGTTTCAATTCCATTTGGTTTCGTTATTTTCGCTGACTCGCAAATACCCCTGAGAAAGATATGAATCCACCTTTTCTTCCCTCAGCTATGGGTTAATTAGTAAAAATTGTGTCACTAAATTATTGTTCAATTCTTACAATCTAAAAATATATCCTGGTTTTTAAATAACTTGCAAAGGGTTGATAAGCCGTAAAAAACAATCACTCAACATCGTCTTCTGCGTTGTCTTGTAGGAAGCGTATTGTTGAACTTATTTATTAGTGAAATAAAATTCAAATTATGACTAAATTAATTTCAAATTTAGTGCTTGACACTTTTTGATGGATACATTTACTAGAGAGTAGAGTTTTTACATTTTTAATTATTTTGAAATATTAAATAAATGTTAAACAAATAGCAATCAACACTACGAAGGGCTGTTCAGACATTTTATCTTTTCATGGGAAATGCTATGGACTGGACATGTGAACACCGACGAAGTTGTAGGTAAAATGGAATCAAAAAGGACACTTAAATTTAGTAATGTTTCGGTCGAGTTAGTTTGGACATTCATAAGTCTATCACACCAATTATCATGGTTCTCCATCAAAGTTGTAAGATCATTAGAGAGGCATTCTCTGTTAAAACAACCCTTTTTGCTCCATGGTTACGTGTCCAGAATAGTACATCACTCGTGAGGGCTTGTCTTGCTCGTCAAGAATGTCCTACAAAGAAATATCAATGATGGTTCCATAGAGCTATTATTTAGCTGGTTGTTGTCCCCAGGTGTTAAATATAGCTCTAAGCATCCGAGTGTATGTTCCATCAAGCTTAGACTGAAGGATTTAGTTAATGTCCAGGCAGTAGCACCATCTCATTAACACTGTCTCTACAGTTTTTATATAAGAACGGCGTGGCTGGGGTTATAGCTTTAGATATCTCGAAAGAGATTAACAAGCATGCTGGCGTTCTTTATAGGATCAAGGGCTATGGTAAATCTGGCCATATGTTTGACTTCCATCTTTCTTAACAAAATCATGTAATAAAAGTTGTTTTGAACGGCCACGCTTCAAGATCATTCCACATTAGTACGGGGGTACCCAGAGTTCTATTCTTGGACGTACTTTGTTTCTTATCTTCATCAACGACCTCTCCGATTTCATTAGTTCCTAACTCTGTATTTATGCTAATGTCACAACTATTTACTCGTATTTAATTGTAAGTCCGAAATGTCCTACGAAAATTATCTCTAAGCAGTTGTTAACTGGGGCAAGAAATGGTTAAAATTTTAACGCCTCCATAACAAAACTGCTAACTTTTAAACCACATAATAAACCGTTTTTGCCTTTCATCAGGAGCGCTGATGCTAACTTCAAGTATAGCAACTTGTTGCGCTTTCTCGGGCTCACGTTTTCCACTGACATGAAGTGAAGTGATTATATTGAATCAATTGCTAGGTCTACTGCTAAGAAAGTTGGTTCACTGTGTCGTTCGAAACACATCTAGCTGATTTATAAATCTACCATTCGTTCGATCATTGAACATTGCTGCCGTGTCCCGTCTTGTGCTCCGGCTATATACCTTGAGATACTCGGCAAAATCAAACGAAGCGTCGGTAATGTTATCGGTTCTGACCTCGAATCTCGTCTTCAGTCAGTTTCCAACCGCCGGGACGTAGCTTTCCATTGTCTTTTCTATAAATATTTGCAAAACAGTTTTTTTTAGTGAGCTCTCCTTCTTGGTACCACAACCACATGAATTTAAACGTATTGTTAGATTGGCAATATGGTTTCATTGTTTTATTGTTGAAATAACTAGATGTAACCCTAATTTCTTTTCTAATAGTTTTTTTTTTTACCCACACTTCTTGTCTGTAGAAGTCTCTTACGATTTCTTGCTTCTCTACCACCTACAATCTTCGGAAATTTATGTTCAATTTTTGGGCTTCCTCTTCGCTAAAGTCGGCTCCTTCTCTATCACCCCCAGTAAATGCTTGCGTCTTAGTCGCATTATCGTCTTGATTGGAGTGAAATGATTACAGAAAATATACTGCACTTTATACTAGTTGATAGGATTAAAATACAGACTCGGAAGAAATAGCGTTAATCAGCTACAAAATCCTTTATTTTTGATAGTTAAATTCATAAACGTTGGAGTGGCCTATATTTTTAGTTCGAAATGAATTAATTTGTTTTTCTTTTTTTGTTCTTTGGCAGAGGAAATTACTTCTACAGAGAATCGTATAAAATTGCGCAAATTATAAAATGAAATCTATAATTTAAGTAAATCTATAAGTTTATGTTATTTGAGTTCGACACTAACACGTAATTAAAGGCAAAAAACCGCTCATTAAAAATATTATAATAATGCTTTAAAGCAATAACTTACGTTTCCCTTAAATTTATTAAATGTTTTCTCCTTTCCACTGTTGCAGTTAAGTGTTGTTCTTTATTTATAATGTAGCGGTATATCTATAAATGAAAGGATGTGTTTGGCGATTTATTGATGAACGTATATTTATGTGAGAAAAATATTTTAGTAACAATATTGTGGTTGCATGGGATGTTTTCATATACACGATATACGAATAATAGTACAAAAGATATTGTGCATATAACATCAGCATTTTATTGCCATAGCAAAACTATATGGGAAATATATTTAAAAAAGAGATAAAATAAGGTGTCTATATTGTTTCAACTTCCAGTAATATGGAACTTTCCCTATTAATAATACGTTGAGTATAATGTCTTGTTGAAGATGTTGAGGTACATTCGAGAATAGTTTTTTGTTGCTTCAATAGAGTTCTGTGTTATACTGTATGCGATACACGGTTCGCTGCTGGACTAAATAAAAGGTTCGGTTGGAAATTCTAACACATACCCCCTGATGAAGGTACAACGACCGAAACGTTTTGAATAGGACAATAAAGTGGGGCCAAAAGTACGAACAATGTAAATAGGGTAAATAGTTTTATTTTCTTTTTGGTTTGAACACGTACTTAAGAATGAATTACATGACATGACTTGTCTTTTATAGACTCCAGATATTTTTGAATGTTTGTAAATTAAGTGTAGAACTAAGGGAAGAAAACTCATCGCCTTTACATTTACTAAGATTATTCACAGAAGTTGAACTTAAGATTAAGCATTTTGCATATATGCCATTTGTTCTACTAGGGAACTGCATATAATTTTTAATAAAAAATCTATACCCTGCATTTCGAAAGTTCTTAACAGGCCTGCATCAGTGCAAGAGAAACAAGATACGTTTTTCACTATAGCATCCTGTGATAGCTATAGAAGATACAGAGAAGGTTTGCACCCTGTTCTTTTATATTGATTTTTAATGTTGCCTTCTGTATTGTCTCTGTGCCCCCACGATACTACATAAAATGGTATCAACAAAAAGGAGGATTCCTTTTTTTTTGCCTATTCGTTTTATTAGAAGAGAGTAATGGCAGCTTGAATTCTAAGAATCAGCGGGAGGAATTACGTCACAGGAACGCATGTCAAACGTAAGCTCAGCATTTCTCTGCAGGTGGTCTTAGCCAGTCGCTAACCTGGGCGTGGGAGTTGTACCAACGCTTCAAAATTTGTGCAGCTCTCTGTTTAATTCGCACTGTTTTGGACTTATATCGAAAACTCACACAAAAGATATCCATCACTGTCAGAATACCACACCCACAATGCATTCCGGCCAATCGTTGACCATTCTGGACCGATCTTCGCATTCTCTAACTTTAGCAACGCCATCTATCGGGCGTTAGGATAAGTTCTTTGGCGGATAAGTGGGGTAATCTTACACTGAATTTTATTTAATAAAAAAAAAATTTGTGTGTGTGTGTGTGTGTGTGTGTGTGTGTGTGTGTGTGTGTGTGTGTGTTATACAAATCCCTTTCTTCATTTATGTGCCATGTTTCTTCAAGACGTGGAGGATCATCGCTCTCTACAACTTCTGGTTCTTTGTAGCTTTTAATAAGGTTTCTCTTTTTGCTATCCTCTCCTAATCGCTGTTGTGCAACCATTTAAACAAGATCGTTATGTATTTAATTATCTGTTTTCTTCTGCCTGCTCTTGACTTCAATATGCCCTGTGAATGTCGAATCCTCAAGACCTCTTTCTTCATTATATGCCCTAGAAATTTCAACTGTCTATTTCTGATTCTAACTGTATGCTTTTGTTTTGCTCTTCATTAACACTTCGTCGTTATTCACATGTTTTGAAATATCTTACAGAGTTCTTTTTTGGTTGGAAGTAATGAAACGAAACAGTTGACATTAAAATGTAAATAGTGAAACAACTTTGTTTTCAGTATCATTTTTCTATTATTTACGTTTTTTTTTTTTCTCGTTGCCAGGTGGTGTGGCGCAAGGCGTCAGATCCCAATCCGATAACAGTTTCGGAGGAAGTATTTGTCGATGATGAAACCTACCGGGTACATCGAGTACCCGACTCACACGAGTGGAATCTGCAGATTAGAAATGTTCAATGTAAGCACAATGGCGTGTATGAATGTCAGGTTAGCTCCAAGGAAACCATAATCAAATATGTTTATCTTTTGGTTATTGGTAAGTAGACTTTTATCTTATCTTCACCTGATTGTATCAAATTAAACCAGTATTGTTAATTCCATCGTTATGTTGTACGTTAATTATTTTTCAATCTATTCATACGTATTTTCGACGCAAATTTCAAGAGACTTAAGATAAATGTTTTATTTTTATTTTCTTCTGTCTATATTTCTTAAGTGAGCTATTGTAACTATGTACAATATTTACATCGTTAGAACTGTTGTCTTCATCTTTATTGTCATATTCACGACGTTTCGGCCGTTGTACGCTCCGGCCTTCTTCATATTGATATATGTTGGAATTTCTAACCCGAACCCTTTATTTAGTCAATTTGAGGATAGTGTTCTAGTTTCATGTGTTATACCTTTTGTCGATATCAAAGTTTCAGTTATTTCCTT